CCTGCATTCGGGCTACCTTGTTGCTCAGGCCATGAGAGTATTCTTTATGCTATTCTCCATAGCCAATCAATTACGCAAAAAATCAGAACCCAACACTCTGGATTCTGAAGAAGGCCAGCCTTAGGTATACCAGTGATCTCATTTTGTAGGTTGTTCTAGTCCCGTTATATTCCATCCTCTTCTCCGGTTTTTGTTCTCTCTGGGATGGCTTGGTGTTAGGAGAGCTGATTCTCAAAAGTTCTTTGGAACCAAAATGTCCTTATTCTCACCCGCATTCAGTGTTCTCATTCCTGACCTGTTCAAGTATGACAACTCCAGGGCACTTCCAGACCCAATAGGTATGAAAGTTAGCTAATGTGTCTGTCATCATTGTTTTAAAAAACAGTTTCATCCTTCCCAGAACACTGCATCCCAACTAAGATTGGTGTAAGTGCTGATGGCTTCTTTTAAAGCCATTCAACTCTTTTTACAGGCTTAGCTGTTCCTTGGTCATGAGAAATGAGACATGTTTCACACGTCTTGAGGATGACCAAAGGTATCCTCTCTGACTGAGAGTATGGAGGGGATCTCCCTTCTGGGTCAACCAAGAAGGGAAAATGTAAACTTTGAGATGCCAATGACTGGTTTTGCCTCCACAAAGAATGAGCTTTATCAAGGCAGAAGCACCTTTGTAGGAGGTCTTGACTGAGATGGAATGCTGTAGTTCATCACTTATATTTAGCAATTCCCGTGGAGTCTGACTGATTCTACCTTAGCTCTTTGGGTATCCTAAAAGCCCACTTCGAGGCCCACCCATGTACCAGTGGAAACCTCACCATTGAATGACCTTATTTAAATGAGGACTTTATCCAGGGATGTTTCCCAACACAGAGAAAGATGTTATGAAGGTCCACTAGCCAAAGAGATCTCAGAGCCCTGAATTGGACTTTCATTTGTGTTTTTTTGTTGTTTGTCTTTGTCTATGCAGTCTTGGGGATCTAACTGAGGGCCATCTGCCTACTAGCCAAACAAATGCTCCACTCTAAGCTGCATCCCTAAGCCTGAACATTTAAAGACTCATTATATTAATCAGAGCCTCCAACTTTCTAATACATATGGAAGCTCTCTGAAATCAGCTTTCTGAAGAAACAAAGCGTGTGGATTTACATGGGAGTTTTCCCTCCAAGTCTAGGCTTTGGGAAATAAGTAGATTGTGTTTACAGAACAGTAGAATAACAAGGGTTGGCTAAAGACAGAAACACATGAAAGTACATTGCAACCTTTGAGAGTTCCGTCTCAGAATCAGCTAGATTTATGCCCCAATAAATGTTTTTTATACTATTAGTGAAGGTGATTGTTTATAAGAAAAACTTTATTATTCTCCAAAGTTTCAAGCAGCATTGTCAGATCAATGGCCAATGGTTCAAAATCAATGAAAACTGTCTGCAGTTACCTCTGTTTTCATCAGGTCTGTTATTCATCTACCAACTAAGTCTTACAATGGGGGATCTTTCTCTTCACGTTGTGTGTGTTTTATGCAGTGTGTGTGTGTGTGTGTGTGTGTGTGTGTGTGCGCGCGCGCGCGCGTGTGTATGCTTGTGTGTTCCTGTGTTAAATGTGTACATTTATGCACATGTGTGCATCTATGTGCATGATCCTGGAGGCCAGCGGAGGACACCAGCTGTCCTGCTTTATCATTTTCTTCCATGGAAACAAGGTCTCTCACTGAACCTGAAGTCAGTAACCTTAACTATCCTCTTGTCTCTATCCTACCCCAGCAAAAACTGGTCATCTTGGATTTCTATGTGGATGTTGGGATTGGAGCTCAGGTCCTTATTCCTAACACGTCAAGCACTCTTACACACTGAATAATTGTCACAGTCTCCCAGAGTTTCAATATAGGAGATGAAATAGTAATACATGCACAAAAAAACTAGAGAACGATGTTGGTAATTTTATAATTATTTTAATAACCAGGTTTACATTAACAGTCACTTGATGAGCTTTTCTTCTCTTTAATTTCAGCTAACTTGATACACAGTTTTCTTCACGGTTCAAACCAAACAGCTCTTCAATTTCTGAGCTGCCTCACAGGTATCACAGGTCACAGGGAGACTCACTGTCTGTCCATAGCCACCAGACACAGAACTGAACACCCACACACCATGTCTCAAAGGGGAATTACAAGGAGGGCTGGCTGCCTGGGCCAACCCATGACTGCATCAGGATACAAGCTGGGCTGTCTAAGAGAGAAGACCCGGGGGCTCAGGGCAGGAATCAAAATTGGGAAGCCCCAGCTTCTCCCAAGGGACTTGGCAGGATGAGCAGAATGGAGGCCAGAGTTAGGATGCAGAGTTAGGAGATGACATGAGCCCTCTGGGTATTGTCATGAAGAAATCACCAAAGAACCACTGGAATTTGAAGGAGGGGAAAGGCTATTTTGAAGGATGACTACAATTCTTTTAGTTTCAAAAAAAATCTTAGGAGTAAGAGAAATATTTCCACTGGGGAAAATGATTTCAATGCTCCACAACAATCTTCTCAACCACTCAAGCCTGTGGCCCTTTCAGAACCAGAAGGAATGTCAACAGATTGCTATTTGGGCTTAGAAATAACTTGAGGTTTGGAGATCACTTGGATTTTTAGAGGGGCTGGGGGTAAAATTCAGATTACAAAGCTTCTTGAGAGAAGATAGTACCCATCATGCCCTCCCACCCTTGGATGGGATGCCAGGGAATTTGGAGGATGTCCTCACTCCTTGTCACTTTCCTTCCTAAAACTCAGTGACAGGAGCTGTCCAATGTATCTATGGAGCAGAACCAATTACGATATAAAATTTTACTCAAATAGCATGTTGCTTAGAAAATTCTCATGTTAAGAAAATAGTGGGGGAGTCGTCAAAGAATTCACAGGAATTTCTGTGTTTGGGTGTTACTAGTAATGAATGAATAAAAGGTGTCCTAAGACCCTGGCAGCCCACCTTGATAACTTCAAGAAGCCACACCTCAGACTGGGAACACTTGAGTGGATCAAAGTTTCGACACAGTAGCACATTTTGGAAATTCCAAGGGTAGTACATATGCCCCAGAGAAGCTTGTTTTTCATGACCAGGGAAGCCCTGGAAGGATGAGTTGGTCTCAGCCATGGGAAACCACTTGGTTGTGGTGGCCCAGAATTAGTTAATTTACACGTCTCTTCCTTTATCTGTTGGCAACTGATGGTACTACAACCTATAATGCAGCCTAGATTGGCTATTGAGGTATATGTTATTCATGCTTCAGATCTGGAAAACTCGTATTAAAATTCATTCTGAATTTCCTGGAGAAATCTGCAAATCTTTGAATTATAATTCAAAATTACACTTTCCTCAATTGTCTTCTGATGAAGAGCTCATTAGAATGAAAGCACCATAAGAGCTCTAAGCAGCAAGATTCCCTATTGTGAAGTTCCAAAGCCCTTTTCCACAATTGCAGCAGAAACCAACTTGCTCAGGAAAACCCTCTTTCTCTGCTATTTCCAAAACCCTTCATAGTCAAACTGTTCATGTCTCTCTACTTCTCATTTTCATTACAACTTGCGGTCAGGTATGGAGGCTCCATGTGTGGGTAGCACAGTGGCAGGGTGCTTGCCCAGCAGGTGAGATTCCAGGACTCCATTGTCTAGCTCCATAAAACAAATGAACAAAAATCCTCCAACTCCAAAAATACAAAACAAACAAAAACACCAGCAAGTTTCTCCTAAGTACTTAGAAGGTTTGTGAGCCCTGCTCTGGTCATCAGAGTACTTAGTACACAGTGTGGAATTTCTTACCAAGAGGGCCTCCAGAGCACCGAAGTCTGAGCCAAGGGAGATAGCATGTTGATTGCAGGAGAGTCTACAGGTCTCTCCAGACCCCTGTATTGCTCATAGAATCTGTTTAACAATGGGTTTTGGAAATTGTGTGACAGGACTCGGACTTCCCACTCCAAGAGACAAAAGGTGGTGTCAACATCGCTGCCTACTCCACTTATGTGTCAAGCCAAGAAGGGTGTATTGTATCATTTCATACATCTCACCCTGGAGATTTTAGTACCTATTAAAAAGTGACATCCCCACCGGGTGGGACCTGCTAGCAGAAGAGGAAACAATTCAATTTAGAATTGAAAACATGGTTCTACATAGTGTATTCCTGCTACTCAACGCTGCCTTCCCCAAATCTCTGCTTTACTCCCATAGGCGCTAAGGTTACTATTAGGGTCAAAATTAAGAACAACTGAGAGGCTGGGTGGTGGCACATGCCTTTCTTTCCAGCACTAGGGAAGCAGATGCAGGCAGATCTCTGTGAGTTTGAGTCCAGCCTGGTATACAAAGCTACACAGAGAAACCCTGTCTCAAAATACAAAAAAGAACTGAGAAAGTTAGTTTTCCAAAAAGTTAAAAAGAAAAAGTAAAATCCCAAATGTGTTTGGATCTGAGAAGATCAAGAGATAGGCAGTCACACCACCCTTGATTTTACCTCTGCCATGGCCTTAACTCAGCAGCCAAGAACATGGGTATCCCCTCAGCTTGAGGGCAGGAGAGTAAGAGTTGCCTCCCCAGGCATGAGAGGAAGGTCACGGAAATGTCACTGCTCTCCAAACCAGAGCCTTGCTGCACCTTTATGGCAGCCTTTGATGGACACCAAGGAAGCAGAAGAGACCTCTCCATGTGTTCTGCTGTGTGGCCCTCACAAGCCAGAGAAGAGGATTAGAAAGCAACATGAGAAAGAGGCCCAAGCAAACAATGGCATCATGAAACAGATAGAAGAACTGGCTGGATTCCAACATTTAACAAACAATGAAAGAAACAATCTACTAGGAAAGATGTGACAAACTCCAAACCCAAAGTCCTCCTCCTGCCTTAGCAGATCCCAGGAGACAGTGATGGAGCATCCAGCAGCCATTGTCCATGGAAATTAACAAAAATCAACACAACACACTGTGCCCTTCTGCTCACCCAGCCCACCCACCTCATTCCTACCCACCCCACTCCAGCCCCTTTGTGCCCAAAACCTTGCCCTGGGCTCCCACCACCCAATCTCCCAAAGAAACCTCCAGTCTTTTATTAATTTTCTTGACATCCCAGCTTCATCTGTCCCCTCGCCGTAAGATGCAGTGCTACATATGCTCTCAACACTATAATATGCAGACTCTACCTTAGTGGCCTGTCTGATCGCATGCATGTAAGTGGGGGGGGGGTTAAAGAATCAAGGTTATGCCTAAACAGAAATCAAAGCAATTCATAAAGCTAGGCAAGCGAGCATAACATTGGGAAACATAAGGCTTGAGGCTTATTGACTCTTTAGATCGCAACTGTTTGGATTCACTTTCCTTCTTAAATATCACTGTACCAATTTTGGCTTCGAAAAATCTCTTCTTGCTTCTCCCTCCCTGATTGGGAGGACTTGCTTAACTCAGAGATGTGATATTAGAACGGCCTCCAGGGGGCGCCACGTTTGATGGCTGAGCTGACACCCTCATTCATTTGGGTGCCTGCAGATGGAGACAAATTTCCAGGGAGAAACAAGGGGATACAAGGGTGTGGGGGAAAGAAGATGGAGAGTAACTTTAAGAGTCAATGATATTAAGAACTTTCGTGGTGCACAAGAAACTTTACACCAAATCTTAAAATTTGAATATTCATACTCTGTAGGGAAATCCACATTCCTCCCTAGAGTTCATCTGGTGCTGCACACATCAATCATATTAGCAAGAACATGAGGATGACTGCTTATACTGACCGTGGCTGTCCATGTGCCAAATCCCATGGATTATTCCACTCATCCACACTACTGTGGTTTGGGAGAAAAATATTTTATTGGTCCATGACAGACGGGTGCTGGAGAGGGGAGGTCACCTGTCCAAGGCCTCCAAGTTGGAGGGCCAAGGTCTCCTGTTTATGCAACTAGAAGTGCTAATGTGTACTTCATCCCATTCAGAAAGAAGCCTCTGAATGTTTAAGGACTGATGTGGCCATAAAGCCACAGAAAAAGGTGAACACACTCCAAACTCCTTGGGAACACACTCAATGGCTTAGGAAAGTTTCAAAATGTTGAAGCCTTTTTTCCCCCCTAAATCTACTTCCATTCCTCCATGGTCTCTACTCCCTCTGCTCTTTCCCTTCCTTTCTGTGGATGCTGTGGCCTCACCTTTAAATATGGCTTAAATATGTCCTGTCACTTGCACATTTTCCATCCTACGGAAGCACACCTATATTTACCGCCCCCACTCAAGCACAGCTATGGAGTAATTAAAACAATCATCCATGGTAAAGTGTTTTTGGAGATTAGGTGGGATCAGTAATGTGGGAAACACAAGGTAAATATTCACTGAGTGCAAGTCAGTGGATGCTATTGCTGGCATCATTTTTACTAGGGAGAGGAATTAGTCTCTGAGAAGCTGTTGCTGAGGAACATAAAAACAAGTCTAAGTTTTATGTGCACTGAGATTTGAAAACACACACACACACACACACACACACACACACGCACACACACACACACCATAATTCTTAAACACTTATATAGAAGACTGTTAGCACTTCATAGTGGGAATCAGCTCCATTAACCTGACATCAGCTGGTAGAATCTCTAAGTAGAATCTGCTGTCATTTGAACTTGACATCAAACATGACAATGCCTTGTTTGACTTCCTTACCAGGACAACTTGCTGATTAGGAAAACTTTTCTATCTCCATAGTGATCATCTCCCTACAGAGGACACCAGAGCTGGGCCAGCAAATGTATTTTACTTGAATTTGCAGGATGTTTGTAGTCAAGGGATGCTGGTCTTTTCCCCCACTCTCCTCCTTTCCTCTCTTCAGCAGCTCATTCCACTCACCTGACAGGCTAAATCCCGACTGATGGAGGTTCCTCACTGGAGGGTTTGGGGGAGTGGGAGAGCCACGAGTAGAGCCAGCTGGGGTGCCCCCCTTGGGGGTGGTGGTCAAGTCAGAAACGGGTCCATCATACATGCCCCTTGGGACTGCATGCAGGTCTGCCATCTGCAGCCAGAGAAACATGTCACCAGGCATTCTTACATTCAATGATCCAGCAGTGTAGAATGTGCTCTGAGAGGTGTAATTGTATTGGTAAAAAGAGTATGTGGAGGGGAATCCAGGACAAACAGCAGAAAGGGATGTGAAATAAGAGACATGACACAAGAAACAAGGTGGGTATCATCCAGGAAGGGCTCTGTAGATGTGAGATGCCATCTGGACCAGTGCTACTCAACCTTTCTGGTGCTGTGACCCTTTAACACAGATTCTCATATTGTGGTGATCTGCAGCCATAAAAATATTTTCGCTGCCACTTCATAACTGTTAATTTGCTACTGTTATGAATCATAATGTAAATATGTATTTTCCAATGGTCTTAGCCAACCCCAGGAAAGGGTCATTCAACCCCCAGGTTGAGAACCACTGCTCTTCTAGAATCAAATGACCCTGTGATGTTCTTGGGCTTTCAGGAGGCAAACAGCTGAGTGAAGGCTTAGCTCTGATACAGGTGGCAATGGTGGCAGCAGAGGAATGAACAAGGACAGCCTCCTGGAAGTAGGAACATGATGGAATAGAACTGTACTATCAGGACAGCTGGAGAAGTGCCATCAAGAAGGACCGACATCTTAGATGAGGTCACTGTGGACATGAGATCCCATGGGAGACCCACCCAAGACTTTTCAGAGTTTCTCATATTCCAGGGATGTGAAGCCCTAAACTCGGTGTCTGTGGTCTGACCCACTGCCCTTTGCCTGTGAAACTGCCTGGGGACTGTGGAGCCAGTCAGCAATATCAATCAACTATGTGTTCTGTGCTGCAATTGTGCCAAGAGCTGGCTTATAGCTTTATGAATCATGCTGTGTTCCCAGAGGCATTTATGTTCTATGAGATTAGGATGGTCAGACCACCCAAGGAGGGAGCAAAGCCTGCATGTGAGCTCCATCACATCACTGGCTGTGTGTGGTGTAGCAGTGGGGACATGCATCCCCATGAGCCTGACAGTGAAGAAGGGCCAGGATGATACCTCTATGGAGCCCTAGCCCTGCCCTGCCTTCTGTGCAGTAACCTGGGCACAGTGCAGCTGTCCCTCATGGGAGGAGGAATGCCTCAGTACTCCCCACCCTGTAATACTATAGCTGTGGAATTCTGTGGTTCCAAAATCTAAGTCATAATAAAAAGTCTATACTGTGGAATTTGACTTTTATTCCCTTTTCTAGTAAGATAAAACTTGCATAGAGAGCTTACACCTCACACTTCAATCTCAGTCTCAGGGCCTTGTCTAACTTTGCTTTGTGGAGGCAAGTTCTAGGAATGGCTGGAAGCTGGAGAGGGAGTAGAGGGACTCTGAAAACAATGCTCAGGCCCTATGTCTACATCAATACAAACTACTGTGTGTGTGTGCGTGTGCATGCGCGTGCGTGCACTCGAGTGTGTATGTGTGTGTTTGCATGTATGTATGTATGTATGTATGTATGTGTGTGAGAGATCAAGAGAGAGTGTGATGGGAGAGAAAGGGAGAGAGGATGAGAGGATTGTGGACATTTTTTTCCTAGTGGAGCAACCTTGGGCGGCCTGGAAGAGAGATGGCTGGCAACAACTTGTCCTTGTGTTAAGCCTTTGGGAATAATTTTTCCATGAAAATATCATATCATTACATCAAATCCTTCCAATTTTAAACTAAAGTACTTTAGCAATATGGGGAAATTATTCAGGGAAATAAAAGTGTTCTTGCCCAAAACATTTTCAGAAATAGCCTGCAAGTTCTATGCACCATTTCCTTAGCACCAAACTGTGGTTTTTGCTGTGAGGGTTAAGAAGCCTGGTCCTCTCATCCCAGGGACCAAATGGGACCCCATGCCCCATGCCCTTTCTAACCTATAGGCCTCATTGACACTCACCTTCCTCCTGGCTTTAATGCGCTTATAGACATAGTCAGAGAATGGGCTGCAGGGAATGAAGCGACCAGCCCCCTGGGTCACATGCAGATTGTAGACTTCCAGCATGATCTTGCCCTGGCAAATAACCACCAGAGGTGCCCCACGTAGCTCCATCCCTTCAAAGATGTTGTATTCTGCAACCTGGATTCAGGTACAAAGACACAGTCAGACCATGAGTATAAGACGAAAAGAAAGAGGAATGGGGTAATCTGTGTTTTAGACCCTGCCTTCAGTGTCTCTAGGAATGGAGTTATCAGGGAAAGCCAGGCAAGGCTTGGGACACAACTGCCTGGTTTGATAAGAAACAGGGGACTGACACAGACTGGATAAAGAAGCCTCAAGTAAAGCAAAATGCCTCACTTGTATTAAGATCTTTAATTGAAATTCTATTTCCACTGCCAGCTGTATTCCAAACTCAGCTACAAGACCCCTAGGGATGCTGCTGCACATGGAGCCTATGCTGAGAGATGTGTGGAGTGACCCAAGGCCCTGTGGCCTTGCCCAGGGAAAATTCCATGACATGATGTGAGTTAGTGTTTAAGCATAGGTCATCATCATCCAAAATTGGATTTCTGTCTATCTTACTCACTTGTTCAGTAGAAAGACAGCACTGCAGGGGGTCAGGGTACTAGCTTGATTCTAGGATTGGAATGTCAGCTCCACCACCAACTACATAAATTATTTACTTTCTATGCATTTCTAGAAATTAAGCAAAACTACAAAAAGAAGATAGTAGTACCCACCCAAAGGTACCCACCGTTCATGAGATTCATGTAGTAGAAAGCCAGGCCTCTTAGGGAATTATTTTTACTACCAATTATTTAGTATTTCTTTAAGGTATTAGATTTGGGTTTCAGTTTCTTAGGAGAATTGAAGGGAATAATGGAGATATTTGACATTCTCTTCATTCAAAACATAAAGTCTGTCTGAGGTTCTGCCATCTCGGAAGCATGTGGAGAAGAGCTTCCTCTCTATGCCTCCAACCCTGAGTGGCCAGGAAAGGCAGAGCTCCTCTGTTGACTGCTTCACTCATGAAAGCAAGAGAAAGAAAGAAATGGTTGAAGGTTTTCTTATGCCTATAAAACTCAAGGCAAGCCGGGCATTGGTGGCACACGCCTTTAATCCCAGCACTTGGGAGCCAGAGACAGGCGGATCTCTGTGAGTTCGAGGCCAGCCTGATCTCCAGAGCGATTGCCAGGATAGGCTCCAAAGCTACACAGAGAAACCCTGTCTCAAAACACCAAAAAAGAAAAAAAAAAGAAAAAGAAAAGAAAACTCAAGGCAAACTGGACTTGGGAGCACATGCCTCTTATACCATCACTAAGGAGGAAAACATAGGGTTATCAGCAAGGAGACCTTGCTCTCAAAACCACAAAGAATACACAGACAAAACAAAAAGCTCTTTGTGGCTAGATTT